CTCCTTTTCTAGTAGTGAGTCGTCTCTATCATTCACGGGTAGAATAGAGGCGTGGATTTGGGAATTGTATATTTTATATAAAAATCAAATTGAAATATTTTATACAATCACACCTATTTAGGGCTGGTCGGGTGGTGGTGGTGGAGGGGTGGTGGTGGCGGGTGGTAGATGGCAGTGGTGGGTGGATGGCAGGTGGGTGAATGGTGGTGGCGAGTGGGTGGATGGTGGTGGCGAGGGGTAGATGGTGGTGGCAGGTCGGTGGTGGATGGTGGCGGGTGGTGGTGGCGGGTGGTGGGTGGTGGTGGCAGGTGGGTGGTGAGTGGTGGTGGGGGGTGGGTGGTGGCAGAAGACGGTGGTAGAAAATGGTGGCGGGTGGTAGCTAGTGTTGGGTGGTAAAAAAAAAAAAAATTGAAAACTCAAAATGAAAACACATTTTTTGTGTTTTCATTTTTTAGCCAAATTTATAAACTGAGACCATTGATTTATAAAATCAAAAATTTACCAAACAAGTTTTTATTTGAGTTTTTAAAATATTTGTAAATATAAACAGAAAACTGAAAACGTAAGTGTTACCAAACGACAAACAACCACCTTAAAGCCAGTTTTTTTATTATCAAATCACCTGTCTATTTTTTTATATATTTTTTTCAAAAAAAACAAAAAAATTAGTTTTTTACCTATTTTCTAAAACAAACCAAGTGTTCCATTTGATAAAATAAAGAAAAAAAATATTAGTTAATTTTCGAGTACCATGGGACATTGTTTGCATAGTACTCTTAACAAATGAGATCCTGCAAACCACTATAGATCCCCCTTAACTACCTACATATGACGACCACATCAATAATGTAACATGATACTCTACCACTAGTAAATATGTTTATAAACTCATAAATTTCATCAAAAACATAAATCGAACAAGAGGCAAGTACCTTGTCATCAACATAGGCAGCCCAGAAGCGGCCAAGGGCAGCATCATAGGGATCAGAAGGGAAGATAGAGGGACCAAAGCTCCAAACCTCATCAATGTATTGTACAATGATGAGAGACTCACATACAGGCTTGTCACCATGGATGAGAACTGGGATTTTTTTGTGAACCGGATTGGATTTGAGAAGTAGTTCGCTTTTGGTACCATATTGCTCTTCAAGGAACTCGTACTTGATGGATTTCAAGTTGAGGGCAATTTGAACCCGGTTCACGAAGGGACTAGGCCATGCACCCAGAAGCTTTACGTCACTTGTCGCCATGGTCAACTCTCTTATTCTCAAGTTTTACAGAGGGAATTTTGGGTGTATGAATGAATTGGGAAGGAAGAAGAAGGAAGTGTTGACATTTTTATACAAGTGTATGGCTTGGGAGAGAAGACAAAGGAAGGTATGAACATAGGGAGGTGATTCATTTTTTAATTTTTTGATTGGCATATAAATATTAGAAATGGGGTAATTCATTTGACTTTTACTCTAGCTTGTATCGTAAGATGAAAACAAAATATATTATAATTTTTCATTTAAGTGAAAATAGAAAAAAAAAAATTATAATAACAATTACGTTTTTTTCATTATTACTTTTGAATGAGTTGAAAACAAAGAATATTGGGGTATTTTAGGAAGTTGGTAAAAAGTTAATTTTTTTATTTTTTGACTTTTTTAGTGACTTTTTTCACCCAAAAAAATGACTTTTTTGTTGACTTTTTTGCGACTTTTTTTTTAGAAAACTTGGTAAAAAGTAAAAAAATTGACTTCTTATCAAGTTTCCAAATTGCCCCATTATATAAAGATATAAGTGATATAAAGATATTAGCGATATATTTTTTTTTCTTAATGGACTTTTACTCTAGCTTGGATCGCAAGATTAAAAAAAAAAATTATAATTTTTCATTTAAGTGAAAATATAAAAAAAATTATAATAATAATTTCGTTTTTTTATTATTACTTTTGAATGAATTGAAAACAAAGAATATTATACCAATATATGAGTGGTATTTTTTTTCTTCTTAATGCACAATCTCGATAAAACATACACAATCAACCAACATGTTAGTTAGTTACCACCATTTTTTTTTTTTTTTTTGTGTTTTTCAAAACACAGTAAAACCTCTAAAATAAGATAGTTTTTTTTTTTTTTTTTTCATTAAACTTATAAATCAAATACAAGAAAAGAAGTTATATTATTTTTATTCCTTATCATTTCTTATCAAATCACAATCTAAACATATAGTTAAATACAACGTAATATTAATAAGTTCTACCACTTATGTATATCTTTAATACTATATTAAAGACAACTATGATAACACATCAAATGATAAGATATAATAATAAATAAATAAATAAATTATTATAACATTAAAATCATGTCTACGTTTTAAAATTTTCAATGAGTGGTAGTTATAAATGTTTTGGGAGAAAAATAAAAAGATTTGTATAAAGAAAAGGGATTCGGCTCTTTTTAGTTAAGTTTCTCAATTAGAGGGTATTGGTAGACTTATATGGGACATCATGGAGACTGATGATTTAAATGATTAATCTGTAAAACATATTAGATATTTTATCTTTATAAAAAATTATATTAATCAAATATTGATAATTATCTAATCGAATCACATTTTTATAACACGGATTTCGCAATACGTGGGGCCCAGTCAATAAAATAGAATAATGGAGTGGGGTCAGTCAATCCATTCTCATCGAACAAAGAGTTATTTTACGTTAAAAAGTCTTCGTAAAACCATCCAATTAAGGACCTATAGAAAGGACAATATTAAAAATATTAAATTTTTTATTAATAAATAATTAAATATTTTATATAAGTGTCAAGTCTACATTTTTATAAATTCTGTATTGTTATTTGATTATTTATTTAATAAAAAATTTAAAAATTATTACTTTTTTCCTATTAAAAAATTATCTCCAATTTAAAACTTTAATTTTACCAGCGGTGCGAAGATCGTAACATGTGGGGCCCAGTCAATAAAATATAATAGTGGAGTGGTGGGGTCAGTCAATTCCTTCCCATTGGTCAGAGTTATACGTCGGGGTTTTTGGAAAGTCAAAAAAAAAAGTTAATTTTTAATTTTTTACCTATTTTGATTCACATTGTTCCTCATATATTTTATTCATAAAAAGATAAAAGAGATTAAAAAAATCAAAACAATTATTTTTTATCAATTTTTCAAAACATCACATTATCAAAGTCGTCATAAAACCATCCAATTAGGGATCTATAAAAAAAATTATCTCCAATTTAAAACTTTAATTTTATCATCGTATTATGACCTCGTTTGAGAAGATGCTAATTTAGTAATTTTTTGATTATTTGATTAAAATATGAGCTAAAAAAACTAGTATGTTTGAAATGACTTTTTGATTTTTTAAGAAAATATGTGCAAAAAGTAGAGAGAAAATGCCTCGTTTGGGAAGCAGTCAGTTTAGCCAAAAAGTTACTAAAAAAGTCAAAAAGCCAACAATCCATACCAAAAAGTCAAAGATTCTATTTTTTCTCTACTTTTTGCACATATTTTCGTAAAAAGTCAAAAAGTATCCTAAACATACTAGTTTTTTTTAGCTCATATTTTAACTAAGGCCAAGTTTGGGTACTTCCAAAAAAGCTAAAAAGTCAAAAAGTTACTCAAAAAGTTAAAAAGTTAACACTATTCACTAAAAGTTAACACTATTCAGTTTGGTTGATTTTTAGGATAAAATTTTGAATTTTGCTTATTTTGAAAAGTGATTTTAATTTAAATAGGTCCCTACGAATCAATTTTTTCATTTTTTTATTACACATTTTTCAATAAAAAGTCAAAAAGTTAACCCAAACATCCATATTTTCAACCTCAATTTTTTAGTCTAAAAAGACAAAAAGTGCACTTTTTTAGTCTTCCCAAACTTGGCCTAAATAGTCAAAAAATTACTAAATTAGACTCCCTGAGTTTTATAACGAGTTTTGTTTTAAATTTTAAATTTTCATTTTATAATATTTTTAGTGTATGTTATTCATATAAAAAAGTTAATTTAATAATCATAATCACCTTGCTTGTTTTCATTTTTCAAAAAATATTTTTCAGAAAATTCTACTTTCTTATTTTTTGTGTTTTTTTGTTTTTACTGAATTTTTTTAATATTTTAAGCATTTTGTATTTTTACCAAAAATATAAAAAAATACAACAATTTAGTACATATTTTGTATTTTTATGTATTTATTAATTTTTTTAAATATTTTTTCCCAAATTTTTTATTTTTTAGATACATCTAAGTAAGGTGCATCTAAAAAAGTAAAAAAAATGTTTAAAATTTTAAAAATATTCACTAAAAATAAAAAAATACGAAAACAAAAAAACTCAATTTTCAAAAAACTTAATCCAGAAAACTCAAACCAAACACACTGAATATTTTTTTATTACTTTTATCTCAATTTTTTTATTTATTTTAAAAATATACTAATTTATTTTTTTAGAAACAAATGTAATAAAATGAAAATGCTACAATTATCAAATAGACTTAATTTTTTTTCCTTTTAATGACGTACAAGAAGGATTTTACAAAATAAACGATTCAAATTATCAAAACGAAATTCGTGACGAGTCTAACCATTCTTAACATAATAGATTTTGAACTTGAGATAAGTTTAATAAAAAAATTTAGAACTTTACAATTTAAATATCACAATTTACTTATCTATAATAACATGACAAAAATGTTTGGCATATATGATGGAATTTGAAATAAATCAAAAGTTGCATATAACCAAACTTTCATATCATTGTAAATAAATTGTGTAACTTAAATGGAAAGTCTCAATCTTAAATTAAAAAAAGAAAAAAAGAAAAAGTTAAATGGAAAGTCTCAATCTTAAATTAAAAAAAGAAAAAAAGAAAAAGAGAGAGAGAGAGAGAAAGAGGAGGAGGAGGAGAAGAAGCAGTTATAGTCTCATTATTTGGATTGAATGAACATTAATTTTTAGTTCCTTTTGAGATCATTTATTTAAAAAATTAAGTTGATATAATATCAATAATAACATATTTTATTTACATTTATTTTTTAAAAGTAAACTACATATATAATTTTAATATAAATTGTTCATTTTAATTTAAACACAAACCAAGTAGAAATAGAGTATAGTTGTTTTAATTGTGTATCTGTACTCACTCAGTAGTTCGAATCTCTTAATCTATGTGTGGGTCTTTTTCCGGTGTATTACACTACAGGAAATTAGATTTTTAGCGGCGTTTCAAAAACGCCGCAAAAAGCCTAAAAAACGCCGCCAAATGTTACAGCAACGTTTAATGTTTTCGTCGCTGATACGGCCGTCGCAATAGCTTTGCAACGTTTGAAAAACGTCGCTAAAAATATTAGACGGCGTTTTTGAAAACGCCGCAAAATGTTTGACACTGTTGGAACTTCCGTTACTAACAGATGACGTCACATTGACGTGGCGTTTTTACCAAAAACGCCATTTATTTATTTATTTATTTATTTATTTATTTATTTTTTTTTTGGGTGTGTTATCGTATAAAACTGAGAAAACGGACCCACTAAATTCCCATGAGTTGCTTTTGCAACAACACATACCAATGAAGCAAAGATGACATACTATTCAATCCAAAGTACCAATACAAATTAACTAGTAGTAGCTAATCTAACAACAATACACAATACTCTAATAGCAATTCACTACATCAAGCAGTTCCAAAAACTGCTTCAAGGTGTTCCAAATACTCTAATAGCAATTCACTACATCAAGCAATTCACAACTGGTCACATCAACCCAAATTTCCACCTGAGTTGTCGGCTTGTCTCCAAGGTGTTCAAAATTTGCAACTGTATGCCGATTAGCACCAATATTTAGATTGACAACCTTTGACAAGGAACAACAAAAGAAGATGTTAATAAGTATATAAATAAAGATTATAAACTACGATTCATATTACATACTTGACTACAATGTGTGTTAACTAAGCATTGGGATGGCCGAATCACATAATTACCCAAAGGTCCTTGAAATTACAAACCTAATAATTTTTCTAATGTTTTAACATGTCCCCAAGGGTAACCCCAACGCTGTTGGATTTCCAGAATATTATAAAGCTTTTATCTAGTCAAAACTCAAAACACACTAGCTCTACGTAGAGCTGAGTAAAAAGTTATGGATGTATGCAGGGTGTAGTCAACCCCAAGTAATTGGAATTAAGGCTTGTCAAGTTGAATCAAGCAATCTAAGCAAAACAAAACCTCAAAATGAAGCGTCAAACCATTACAGACCCAAACCAAAACACTTTCAAAAATAGTAAATAAAAAAAAAAAAAAAACTACAAAACAGAGACCACCTTTCTCTTGGAGAAGATTGATCACACCAACTTGACTAAAATATTGTTCCTTTTTGTCAAAACGCTAATTGGTTAAGAAAAAGTCTCTCAAAAAACTTAATATATATTCCCAGTAAGTATTACTATCTCTATTTCATGTATCACATGGATCTTCTAAAGTAAAACACCTTATAATAGGGGAAACAAAATAAAAAGAGTGACATACCATGGTACACAACAGGTTTGATTCCATGTTCTTTCAAAAATACAATTGCAGGTGCAGATTCCACTCCAAACCTGTTGTTGATAAGAAGAACATCGTCAAGGTCATACATCATTTTGGGGAAAAAGGAACAAAAAAATAGAAAAATGAATAAAATCCTATGATATGGCTTCAGAAGTGCAACAAAATCAGGAGAATACCTTCAGAAGTGCAACAAAATCA